CCAGAATTTTCTCTGACTGTACCTACTAGAACATGAAATCAGGTGACCTATTTCACCAACATAATTTGTAGGAGATAGGAAGCAAAAACTATTAATTGTATTAATAAAGCTAAAGGTCAACTTCTTAAGACATATGCAAAGGAAAAAAAAAACAACAAGTCTGCTTTAGAGAAAATAAAAGTGAACAATAAAACAATGCTGTATGAGTGAGTAGTCTTGCATACTCTTTTCATAGGTCAGATAACAAAGGCTATCTTGATAGGAAAAGAGCAATAAAGAATTATGTCTGTATTATTTCACATTTGTTCACTCAGAGATCTTTTCCTTTTAGTAGCACACCATATGGATCACTGTTGTAGAAAGATAGGGACTTTTTCTTAAGGATTTCTTTATCATGTTAAAGCATAACATATTCATTATTGACTCCTTGTCACTGTGAAACAATGTATATGATTACCAAATAAATTACAGCTTGAAAACAACAACAGTTCAATAGCCAGGACTGTAACCAGCTCCTGTGGACGAGGTGCAAACACACACACACAGAGGGCTGGGTTTAACAGAACACAAACTGAATCCCACACACATATGACCTCAGGCATATATATATATGTATATATATATATATATAAAAATAAATACATACATATACATACACCCCCACACTCCCACGTGTGTATTTGTGTTTTTATATGTCTATATCTATATGCATATATAAACACATAAATATGCAAACACACATAACACATATATCTTTGTGTCCCTCAGCTAAAGACAGACAAAGAAAGCAAAATATTAAACTTCTGTTATTGTTGTTAGTTCCCTCTATGCTAAACAGTGGATTGTTTTGTATGTTTGTCTGTGTGACTCTCTTTCTGTCTGACAGATTCCCTCCCATGAGAGGTACACTCATTACAAAAGGACAGAATGAGAGCTTGACGTGGCAGAAACTATCAAAAAAGCAAAAACAATTTGCTGTGTTGCTTTCCTCAGCTTAGCATGCAGCCCAATTAACAAATTATCTATGTGTGAAATTATGGCTATAAAATCTGCATATTGATTGGTAATGTATACAAAATTTGGGAAGCTATGGTATTCAACTGTCCTAGTAAATAACACTGCAAAGCTGGAGAGCTTCACAGCTGGATGTATAAATGACAAAGGTGGATAAACGAAGGGTGCATCTTTATTAAAAAAACTTTAACAAGCCAGTCAGAACTCAGCATGTCTATTGGCTATTAAATCATGCAACTTTATCTGCGAACAGCTGAACAGTGTAAATATAAGTATTTTCTACTGCATCAACTCAGCAAATCAGAACTGGCTTTATGGTCAAAAATATCATAACAATTTAAGGTCAAATAATCAATTCACAAGCGAACAGGAAATCAAGTTTAAATAAGTGGTATTATAACAGGTTTTGCAGTTAGAAAATAATTCTGCTGCTCCTAAAGAGCATCATCCAGATTTAGTTGACCAGACATTGGAGTTTCAGTGTTCCTGTGCATCACTGCTCCTCTTGGCTTCATAGGGCACAAAAAGCAGATAGGGAGGTTGTTTGTAAAGCACGATGGAGGAGAAAGTACTGAGTTAATTCTGAAGAAAATAAACCAGATACAGGAGAAACGAATGGTGTGGTTAGGTCAACTGACAAACTAGTTATCTTAGTTGTCAGGTTAGGTTCATTGTTTACTCAAAGACACGTTTTATCAGATTTGCTCATGAATTTGTTACAGATCTGTACTGGGAGCTGCTTTAATCACTGTTTAGAAGAAAGATACAGAGCAAGAAGTATGTGAAATGTGCATATACCTTCTCAGAAGACACCTCTGCAGTTTTTCATACGCTTTTCCTGTTTTAGATCAGTGTGCTAAGGGGATGGTTAAACTCAGATGATGTAATTTCTTATGACCTTCCTCTTCTCTTCCTAGTCCTCATTTACAGAATCAAATTTACTTTAAGGATTTTATTAGCTTGAAATTTCCTTATAAAAATGGTTCTTTTTTTCTCTTATTACACCCTTTGGAAAACAATTGGAGAGTGTAATTTGACCAAAGCTCTGAAACTGATTTAAGAAAATAAAGCAAAATGCTGTCGTTGCTTAGAAATGTATACAATTTTGGCTCCAATACTGAATATCCTTTGTCGTTGAATGATTAATGAACATATAGTGTTTTTCTACTGCAGGATATTAAGGCAGTAAAGAAAAAGCACTGCCACTTCTATTTATCAGAGAAGATTCTGTAAGGACAAAGCAAAAAATGTAATATGACAACAGAGAACAAAGAATAATTTTATAAATTCTTTGATGTTTTAGCAATACCAAGTAGGTGGTTTAAAATTATATGTTATNCAAGAAGTATGTGAAATGTGCATATACCTTCTCAGAAGACACCTCTGCAGTTTTTCATACACTTTTCCTGTTTTAGATCAGTGTGCTAAGGGGATGGTTAAACTCAGATGATGTAATTTCTTATGACCTTCCTCTTCTCTTCCTAGTCCTCATTTACAGAATCAAATTTACTTTAAGGATTTTATTAGCTTGAAATTTCCTTATAAAAATGGTTCTTTTTTTCTCTTATTACACCCTTTGGAAAACAATTGGAGAGTGTAATTTGACCAAAGCTCTGAAACTGATTTAAGAAAATAAAGCAAAATGCTGTCGTTGCTTAGAAATGTATACAATTTTGGCTCCAATACTGAATATCCTTTGTCGTTGAATGATTAATGAACATATAGTGTTTTTCTACTGCAGGATATTAAGGCAGTAAAGAAAAAGCACTGCCACTTCTATTTATCAGAGAAGATTCTGTAAGGACAAAGCAAAAAATGTAATATGACAACAGAGAACACAGAATAATTTTATAAATTGTTTGATGTGTCAGCAATACCAAGTAGTTGGTTTAAAATTATATGTTATATGCGTAAGAATTATGTGACATGAAAATGCAATTAAGTAAATTATGGTGTAAAAGCCAAAATCCCAAAAGCTTTTGGGAAGACAGAAAAAGGGAGGGATACAGGGGAAAAAGCTCTGCAGAACTCTGGTTCTGCACAGAGACTTTCAGGAGTCAGACATAGGGAAGCATCTCTGGATACGGCTAAGGAAAAGTAGTATTGACAAGATGCCTCTAATAAAGTACAAATAATGAAAAGAATGGAAACTTTTACAACAATACTGAAGGTAATTTTTTTTTTTTTTGGGGGGGGGGGTTTGATGAATTTCAGATTCTGTATCACAGGATATTCTACCTATTTCTGGCTATTACTGGTCCTAGGCCAAATTTCATTACAGATAAATATCAGCAATATCTAATTTCCAAATTTGCTACTCTGTATCGCATTTGCCAATAAATTTTCATTTTTGTATTTCAGTATTTGTTCTAATGTAAACAACACTAATTACTCTGAACAGGCATAAGCCCCATAAATACAAAATTGCAGAAAGATCACAACTTTAAGATAGACATGCTTAGCCATACAGACTTAACAATACCAGTGGGAACCAACAGCTAACCATTTTGCTTTATTTTTTGCCTCAGTATCTATAAGATTGCATATTCTTCTCTAGTTAGTCTTCACTACCTTAATTCTTTCTAAATAGAAATCTCATTTTGTTTATCAGAGACACAATAAAAGATCTTTGTAAAGTTCTGCGAAAGGATTACTGAAATATTAGGTTTCTAAGCAACACAGTTTTTAGTACATCTTCACTAATTTTTCTTTAAAATGCTGCATTACAACCTTAACCATCCAACCTTAATCTTCCTTCATTTGAATGTAAGAAGCTGTAAAAACTTCAGAAAAAATTACACACAGTCAAGTAATGAAAAAAACAATTTAAAATCTTCCTAAGTGTTGCATTTTCTTCAAGTGATAGTGTTCACAGGTACAAATTGCAGCCTTGAATTACTTAAGTAATATGATCCTTTGGGTATAAATTCAATCCTGTTCTTTCAGAACTTAAAGTGGTATTTCTAATGCCACTATATGTAGGCTAATTGTGGAAAGAAGATTTTTATTTCAGTTCTCAAAGCTAATAATTTGAACTCTTCCTTGTGTCTTTCTTTCTCTCTATGTTAATGTGAGATGATGATGAAGAAAAGGTTGTTGGACCAATGTCATCACCTGCACTATTTTTATGGCCATTTTAGCCTATGTTAAGATGGACAGTGTGTCTGTCTGCTGACGGACTGAACAGTTGCTGACTGACTAAACAGTTAAAAATACGAGCTGTTAGAAGGACAAAAAACAACCACCTAAATAACTAAACCACCATCTCAGTAACTACAACCTTGATTTTATGGAAGGGTGAATCTTTTAGGTGTCTTTCCTTGCAGTACTTGATACAGAAATTAAATACTGGTTTGACTTTTGAAATATATTACCAGTTATTTTCTTTTTCTTTCTCTTTTAATGTATCCACTTCTGTATAAAAGAGCTGTTTAAAATTTCTGATGCAAGTATTTAGCCTAAATTGTTTCAGTCTCAACTGAAAGTATTCTACTATTTCATCAAGCCTTAAACAACTTTTCCAAGCAATAACTAACCTCTAATCATAATCTAAATGGAGTTCACTCCAACTTCACAGTTTTACAAGTTTTTCTTCCCCTTTAAATTTCATTAATAACTGAAGTTTCCTTTACTTTTAGGTATTAAGAAATGTGCAACAGCAAAGTATGCACTCATATGGATTTTCGTAATTTCTCCTTGTTCTGTAGAGGATGTGGTAGAAGGGAGGTAACTTATAACTCAACAAACTCGTAACACTTTTGCAATAAATGGATGCTATATAATTTTTTAAAAATTTATTGTATATTGAATTATCTAAGATCTGTTTTCCAGAATTTTCTTCACTAACAGCAAGCTACTCATTTTCCTCCGTAAGATTTTATCTCGAGATATATCAATATTTTCAATATATATTGAACATTCGATATATATATATTTCACCTGCAAATTAGAGTAGCACTATACTTTTTGAACGATTGAGCAGAAAGTCCTCAACAGTCAGAGCAGACTCTCACAACAAAATCTGTCTCGCTCATTTTCTCTGTTTTTTTTCCTGTTCTATTTGTATCTTTATAATTTCAGCCACAATACATGTATTTGAGATTTCTGTTAAGAGTTCACACCACGCTGTTTGATTGAGTGTATTGGCTCAGTAAAAGCACCAGATTTAGCTTTCTGTCAGAACTGTCATAAGAAAAACACAGCTTACAGTTTTTCTAGACTGGCAGTGAACAGTATCACATTATTTCATCTATTATGCTGTCATGTCTTACATCTCCCCAAAGGCTTTGCTTTGTTAAACAAAACATCTGTGAAGGCTGTGCCTAATTATTAGAAGTAAATAAATTAGTAATAAATATAATGATATGTAAACAAGGGTTTTTCATCTCACTATAACATAGGCAACACTTCAACCAGTAACAAATAAATTTTTGAAATGGTTAAACATCAAACATAATTTTCCAGCACTGCTCTTCCTGCAACAGCTTTACCAGTTCTATTAGGCAGTTTTTAAAAAAAAATCCTTGATAATATATATGCACAGATTGACAGCAAAGAGCATTTGCTCCTCAGCACTTTAATACAGAACATAGCAGGCTTATAAAATATCTCTATCATCTTGAATAGGAAAAGTCTCATTGACAGTTGCCTACAGCATTCATGTTTTCATACAGCCTAGGTTAGGCCTTGTTTTTCAGGTGAGCTAATCTTACATCTTGAGAATCACACTCCTGGGTGCTTTGATTTTCTTCCTTTTTCAAGGCCACAGGAAAATTCTTTTTCTCTGCTGAGACATTTTGCCAGACCTGAAAAATAAAAATATAAAATAATAATTTAAAAACATTTATATAATTGAGATAAAGTACCAAATAAGTCACATGTGGAAATTGAGGATAACAATGAAAAACCAAGAGGTCATATACTGCAAACTGTTAACTACTTTATATACTGCATTTTCAGCAAATTTTATACAGTTTTTGTTACAGCACTCCCTTGTAAATGATTACTTCCATATACATTATCAAGATATTCTAAATGCCAAAGGAGGGGAAAAAAAGCCTTTTCAGAACACATATTCTTTTGACTTTTGTGGATTCTGGGAAAGACTGAGGCTGTGAGTTGACGTGTTTATGAACTGCTTTAGCTTACTTTAGCCGTCCACAGCCTCTCTGCTGGGACCTCCCAAGCTGCAGGCTGGCAAAACATTTTCCTTTTCATGCCTTTCTCTCCTTACACACAAAATGGGCTGCTGTACAGGAAAGGCAATCAAATATCATTTTATAAGCAGTGAACTTCCTTCCACTGAATTGCTGCTTGTTCAAGCATTATTTTCTGTATTTCCTGAAACTTTTAAGATTCAAAAGGACAAAAAAAAAAAAAAATGAGGACATGCACTGAAACTATCCTGAAAGCATCAAATTGTCTGCAAGACAAATTGAAACTCTTCATTCTGTAAAGGGAAGTTAAAACTTCAGACACCAGTTTTGAAACCTTTCTCATGTAACTTATACTGCATTGAATTACTAAATAATATAAATTATGATCAGAAATTATGAACAGGACAAACCAAACTAAGCAGGTCACTATTTACAATTTAGCTTGAACCATGAAAAACAGCTCAACTCATAGTTGAAAAAAAATAGTTTGGATAGTGAACTATTAGTCTCTGAACTAATAGTCTCTGATTAACAGCTCTCCAATGAGGATTTGTTAGTTTTATAGAGCAACTGACTATGGGAGGAAGTAATGTGGAAATAAACAAATTAACAGATCAACATAAATAATTGTTTTGTTAAATAAATGCCATTTAATACCTGTATTGAGCGACCTGTCTGTTTGGACTGAAAGAAATTACAGTTCTTCAAATCTAAATTTCTTCCCATTGAATAAAAGAAGTGTATGTTCAATAAATTATAAAACCTATGTTCACTTGATTTCTTGACTACCTGACATAGTGAAATCCCATGAGATGCCAGCAAAACCAGACAGCTTTAAGCCCTACTGACTGAGGAGAATAAATGCCTATGTATAGTACTTCTTATGTATAGTATACTTATGTATAGTATAGTATGCACAGTACTTATTTCAGAATTTGATTCTTGCTTAAGATTGTACCTTAACAAATGATACAGAATTTCGCAGTGTGTTGTACTCATTTCTACAGAATAAGGGGAAGTTTGAGATTTTAGGTAAGTTATTAAAATATTGAGTCCAAGTGTCACATTTTCAGGTGTTTAAAGCATTTCATATTTCTAAGAAATTGGAAAATGGGAAAATTTCCAACTGTCTCCTGTTTAATCTTCAAAAGATTGAAGTCCATTATTACATACTAGAACTCCTCTCTCCCAAAACAAAAGACAAGATTTTATGAGGTTTTTCAATTTCTATAGTATTGCCTTCGCCAGTAAGATCAGATTCTGTAACAAACTATTAAAATCACTTACCAGAGCTGCACTGCACAGACACCAGCCAAACCTGGGACCAGTGAATGGGACTGCTTCATTCCCTCCATTTTCTAATTAATGGACATTGCATCCCTTCATCTAGCACACAGCCATCATCTCCAATTACTTTTCATACTGTTACCCTAAGGTGACACTGATCTGCATGTCTTAAGTTCAAGGTTAAAGCACCACCACACTTCTCACAAAGGCCAAAGGAGGAAAGCAGAATAAGAGGGCAAGATCCTGGCTGGGTGCCTGTCATGGTTTGACTCTGGCCAAATGCCAGGCCCCAGGAAAGTAATTCACTTACCCCCTCCTGCTACCTGCGCAGAGGAAAGAGAAAAAAATTAACAAAGGGCTCATGAATTGAGATAAGGATTGGGAGAAAAACACCCTAAGGGCAAAACATGTTCACATTTAAATGTATAAAGTAAATTTATTATTAAGAGAGTCAAAGAAGAATAATGAAAATTAAAAGAAGCCTTTAATACACCTTTTTTTCTTCCCAGCCCCTCCCTCCTTCCCAATGGCAGCAAGAGAGACAGGATGTGGGGATTTTGGCCAGTTTGTCATTCGAGATCTTCTGCTTGCTTATGTAGTCTTTTCTCTGCTATGCTCCCATGGGCAAACAGTCTTCCCACAACTGCTGTGATGTGGGTCAGTCGTCCACAGTCTTCTAAGGATAGGCTGCTCTAGTCTGGAAGCAGATGCCCTCTGTCTCTATCCCTGGAAGCAGGGGCACTCTCTCTCCATTTGGTCTCCCACTGGATCACAGCTTTCTCTGGCATCTACCTGCTCCAACATGAGCATTTTCCCACACAGGCTGCAAGCAGATCTCTGCATTCCCTGTGGACTTCATACATTTCAGGGGGCCAGCTTATTTCACCATAGACCTCACTGCAGCTTGCAGAGGAATCTCAGCTCCAATGCTTGGAGCACCTCTTCCCCCTCTTTCTTTTCCACTGACCTTGGAGTGGCCATGTTATTTTTCCCTCTTAAGTCCTCACTTCCTCCTCTTCTCTGGCTAGAAGAAAAACTGCTGCTCATAGGTACCACTGCAAACAAGTTCCATTAATTCAAAGACTCCTGCAGGATCTAGGTTCCATGCTGGGGAGTCACTTGCTGTGTTTTCAGCGTTGGCCACCACGTGGGCAGAGGCAGCCTCTCCTCATGCGTGGCACCAGGAGGGAGAAGCTTGCCCTGCTGCAGCGTGGCTGCTGGGGCTGCCAGGCAGGCAAGGCTTGCTGCAGGCTGCACCACGACGGAGGCAGCCATGGTGCACCCCTGCACCAGGGGTGAGCGCTGGCAGAGGTGCCGTGCCGCTCCTGGGAAAAACTGACCTTGTGCTGTTTTGATTTTCTTAAATACCTTATCTCAGAGGCATTACCAACCTTTCTAACTGGGCCAGCAGCGTGCCCATCTTCAGAGCCATCAGAGATTGGCTCTGTTGGACATGGTGGAAGCGCCCAGCAGCTTCTCGCAGCATCAACCCCTGTGGGACCCCCCCTCTCCCTGCAATTACCAAAAGCCCAAGCTGTGCCAAATCAACACAGCCCCTTGAATCTGAGTTCTGGCCAAAACACCAGAGGGCATACTGCATCTACTTATGCAGTTTTATTCTGAAAAATTTTAGGACTAACACTGACTATTTACAAGAAAAAAAAGTTTAGAGACCTATATACTTGCTGATGATGTGTCAGTCTTACAGGAAGACTTTGCAGACAGGATGCTTTATTATTAAAAATAACCTCTCATATAAAAATGAATATGCTATTACTTATCTGAGTGAAGCCTATTTACTAGAACAACGCCTTACATAATAAAAGTGACATCAAGTTTTCCATAGTGAAATTGTTTGGATAAAGATTATGAGCGCCTTCCCAATTTACTTAAAGCTTTCTAAACTGTAATCAAATCTTTTCAGTATGGGATTTCAAATGCAAATATTTTTTCCAGGCACACAAAATCTTCTATCTTGTTTTTCTCTTTGAAATAATTTAGAAGCATCGTCATGGTGAGACCTTACAAGCTTGACTAAAACCCAAGCTTTGCATTTCAGATCCTTGAAATAATTGTGCTTGCAGAGGAAACTGGTCTGTTGATGACTGCTTTGCTTGCAGCAAAACTTGCATACAATTGCTACAATACTTGAAGGGAAGCAAACTAAACTCCAAAGTTTGCAGTGGAATAAATAATACCCCACTTCTCCTTCATGTCCTTGAAGTAACCTTCAGTTATGCTTGATATATTTTTCATTTCTAATACCAAACAGCTTTTCTCCTCAAAGGGTGCACTATTGTTACAATACCTTCATCTTCACTGCTAAATAAAACTGCAAAATTAGGTCAACTGAATCCCATCTTTCAGAAGATTTTAAAACTTTGCTATATAGCTCAAATATTTGCCATATTATAAATAGTCTTACTGGCTCTTTCTACTCACATGACTTTTTGGCATAACAACACAATCCTTACTGTGTAGCCAGCAGTTTTTCATGTGAGATGCTGGAGTGCTAGGAACAGGACTTGCCAGACAACCTGCCAACACAATATGGGTCACATCAATGCAATTTTTCCCTATTACTTAGACAGCCACAGATTAATCTTTTCTACACTAAGGTTTCTAGTGATAATCAATTTCCACATTAACAACAAAAAAAAAATTATGTGCACTCATACTGATCTAACAGAGGGATTGCACAGCATTTTCAACGTAAGCAAACAAATTAAGCAGTTTCTGGCAGAGTGCAAGTTCATGATACCTGAGGACCAAAAAAACCCCAGTTCATGATGGCCATGATGGCTTTCCTCTAATGATGGGTAATGTCTTGATATGCCCATTTTTATGAACTTATACTAAAATCATGGAGTTTGTCCAGAAACACATTTTTTACTACTGATGGTTTCACGGACCCAAACTGCAAACATTCAAAAACTACCCAGAAAACACTTGCCAGCGTGTCTCTGGTGTGCCAGCTGCCCCTGTCTGCACTTTGTGGTATCTGTTTGGCATGAGGAGTAATGCCAGTCTGAGAGATCTCCCTGCACAGGGGTTGCTCCTCTTTACTGACCTCCACCAAGATTACTAACCCGATGGTCTGCCAAGAGGCTAAAAATAAGGAACAGCTTAGGCAGGGGTCATCCCCACTTCTCAGTGCACTCAGTTTTGTATTCTTCTGGGACATATCTTATTCTTTTGAGACAGAAGTGGCTTTTGTCATGTCTAGGAGGTCACAGGTTGCTGCGATTTGTAGCACTTAAAGAGCCAGAAATGTCACCTTTCCAAAGTCAGTTCTGACTGCTCCTGGAAACCACGTCTGTACATTGCACATACACACACAGGCCAGCTGCCACATTAATGCC